GTGTATTTACTTTGTATGGCCAATGCGCGACTGGAAACGATGCAATTCGTATGTGTTTTGCCAAATTTGTAGCTAAACCACTAAACTTCGGTAAATCGTAGGGGTCTCCTTAAACACCCAGACATTTCCCGGAGTTTGAAGGTCCAGGTAGAATAGATTAGGGTAGATTAGATTAGATAAGATCGATAGATAGATTGGATAGAAAAAGAGAGAGCTATAGAGAAAGAGGGAACAACTAGATGGATACAAAAGATGGATTATATAGATAGAGAAGGCACTTGCCTCCCGATCGCCCCAAGTGCCGCGGCCGAGTTGGACCCCGAGACCCCAGCCACAGGGGCAGGCTTGGGGAAGCGATCCAGCAGGCAAGCCTGGCGAATCCCCCCCCCCCCCGCGCCCGGACCGTACCGGTAAGGAAATGGACTCCGTACCGGTAAGGTAACAAAACTGTGCCCAGTTCCATGTTCCTGCAGGTAACCCAGGGGTTTTCAAAGCCTCTAACACCCAAAAATGCAAATGAATTGAAGGCATACGTTTTGTGGCATAATGTTTGGGTTTCAGGAGGCTAGGGTGTGTCTTTTGTTGGGGACCCCCCTGAAAAAAATTGTGGCTTTCCTATTTAAATCCCTCAAAAACGGGGCACCCGCAAAAACACACCAATCCGAATGGAGTTCCGCAGCCCAGCGAAATCCCGCGCTACCATGTCCGAGCTGGGTGCAACTGGCACAGGATAACATGGCAGAGTTCGGCCATCTCAATTCGGCGGTTTGCAGCGTTGGGTGGTTTTCTGGGGCTCGTTTCCCATTTGCCCTCAAGAACCAGGGGCTTCAACTCCCCTTAAGGAGAGCTTGATTCCCGGTGCCCATGTTCCAGACATGTGCAAACACTAGAAACGGCTCCGCTCGCATTTTTTCGGTGAGGGGCCTTCGGATTCTCAGACGGGTCAAACAAGTGGCACGGGGTGTAGGTCCCTTTCTTGAAGGGAGCTCAGTTTCGGTGAATTCCTCGATTTGGGGCGTGCCCCTTGCGGTTTCTAGTTGAAAGCGACCCTAAAGCCCAACGTCCCACAGCCATTGGCCAAGAGAAAAGGCGAACGATCAAATTGTCCACCGAAAGACAAACTACTACATGTATACATATTAAATCATATATTACATATATATATATATATGTATATGCGTATACATATATATATATATATTTATCCACCAATGGGAAATAATAACCGGAAGCTCAAACAACGCCGCCATGCGTGAGCTCATGATAATTATATGCCAAGGCCAGCTGCAGAGCCATTCATCCGAGTGCCGTGCACAAGGCCTAAGGGCGCAACGCAAACAAATGTGAAAGGAAGAAGGCACCCGTTTCAAAAGGATACCGCAAATGGGGTCTGTGCATCTCCATGTGCTGTAAACAAGGGAAAACAAAGCATAAGGCCCATCTCTCTCCTTACATATTATTATTATTACTATTATTATTATTATTATTATTATTATTATTATTATTTATTAATATTATTATTATTATTATTATTATTATTATTATTATTATTATTATTATTATTTATTATTATTATTATTATTATTATTATTATTATTATTATTATTATTATTACTATTATTAATATTATTATTACTTATTATTATGTATTATTTATTATTATTAGTATTATTATTATTGTTATTATTATTATTATTATTATTATTATTATTATTATTATTATTATTATTATTATTATTATTATTATTATTATTATTATTATTATTATTATATATATATGTATATATCAAGTGTGTATATATATATATATACATGTGAAGGGCTGCTACTCGCTATTCAAATGAGGTGCGGCCGTGCTGAATCCCTAGAACCCGTTAGGATTCGAGCCAGCACTCCAACACAAGCGCGGAAAACCCCAGCGAATCGAATCGGCTGACCCAGGTCCTGCTCGTCCTCCGCTGACAAAGGCACCTCCAAACGTGCTGTAGTCGAAACGCGGCAATTGCGAGGCCCTTCTTGGGAGGGATGCAAGATTGCCAAAATGCATCAGGGTTCCAATCATGCCCTCCCTCCAACAATCATGGAAGCTGTCAGTAGGGATATGGAAGGCTACCTCCCTTTCGGGGACTCCATCTGTCCATGATTGTTGGAAAGAGAGTAATTATGTCAGACCTGAAAAAGTCACAAGAGCCGATGCACTTAATGTCAGCCTTTCCAACCGGTTCACTTCGGCCATCGGTCGCCCCAAAACCAGTGTGGGCCCATGGCTCGAAAGTATCATCAGAGTTACCTATGAATTGAGGTTCTAAGAGCAACCACCCTGACCCAAACATGCTGTAGCTTTTAGATCCCCTCACAACTGTAGCTCGCAAAGCTCATGTATGAGACAACACGACTTCACAAACAAACAAAGAACTCGTTGTTTTCTCGAGAAGACCCAACAAAGACACATGAACCACCTGGATCGCCAGTTGCTGCTTTTTCTTCCATGCACTTTACC